CTCCAGCCTGTCCAGGTCTCTCTGGATGGCTTCAGTGGAAGAAGTGATTTGTTGGGGCTCTTTATAACCTTCTCCGGAGGAGACACAGGCTTAACACACAGTGTCTTGGAGCTCTGCAGTACCAAGGTGGTTACCCTGAGGCTCAAGCCTGGGGCATGTTTCCAGCTTCACAACAGCAAAGTTAAGATTAAAAATGGGGAAAGAAGTTAGTTCCATCCTGTTTCGTGAGCCGTAGGGATGTGGACATGGCATCACTGTCAGCCCCTTGGAAAAACAGCTTCACATGTATGGTCTTCACCCTCTATGGCAGTTGTCTTAATAGCACTAACATGACATTCTCTGGTATAACCCATTGTTGCAGTGGGGCTTCTGTGGGAAATTGTATTTTTGTTTTTCATACCAAACAGTTTGTGGCTGTGTGTAAAGATTCACAGGTCTCCTTTGCTCTTTCTAAACGTAAGCGATAGAATCCCGTGTTAGGGTGAAATGCAGGAGTGCCCAAATAAACTGCCGCAGAGCTGTCATACAGGAGGGGAAGAGACATGAGCTGTAATGTTTGACTTGGCTTCCTGTCTGCTGGAAGCAGGAAAGGAGCTGGTGAGAATCTAAAAGATTTTATCCAAGTCCACATATTTCCTTTTTTACCTTAATACCCTTTGCAAAAAAACCACAAAAAACAAAAACCAGGGGACAAAAAGCACCTCAGAAATGCTTTCACTTCCATAGTTCCCACATGTGTTCCCATGCTGCCCTCCTATCTGAAGGCAAACAGAACTATTATTTCCTAGAGAGTAGTCTGTTATATCTATGTACTTAGTATTATGTATAAAAGGAAGAAAGAGATTTATTTTATATAAAAGAAAGAGAGAGAGGGAGAGAAAATACCTGTTCTTTAAACAGAATCAGCCATTAGGTCTGCAGGCTGCTTCTGGGGGATCTCAGGAAAGCAGCTAAGAGTGGCAGACCTCCTCTTAGCATATTTAATCTGCTGAGATCCCCAGCTACCACGTCAAGTTTTATAGGGACCTGTGTTATCAAAGGGAGTTGAAAACCACAGAATAGAGGAACTACTGTGAGAATCTCCCAAGGATCATGCATCAGCCTCATTTTACTCTTGAACTGCTTATTTACTGACAGGAATGTATGCACAGGCTCTAGGGAAGGCACACGTTCATATGCTTGATGCAACACAGACTGACTGACTTTTTTTCTGAGCACTGACATATTTTCTTAAGTATTTGATTGCTATGAGCAGGTTTAACTTCTTTCTAGGATTGCAGGAGCCATCACAGGGTTTGTTTTGTCGCTGTACAGAAGTGGTGTTTGCAAGGACTTTGACAGAGATATTGGCTTGTGCTAAGCCACCTGCTTTCCTCCTCTCTCTTTAACATGAGCAAAGACACACGTCCTTTTAGAATGAAGGAACAAAACTTGTTTTACTGGTGGAATACAACCTCCTACTGTACTTTGTGGTAGTGGTGTTTTTAAGACAAGCACATAACCATTGCTGTGGTGTTACCACAGTGACTGCTACATTAATAAGTTTATCTTTTGTTTTAAGACCTCTGCCTATTTCCAAACATCACGTAACATCTGCCAGTTTGCTTGTAAGTTTTCTGTTGTTCATGTGAAATTAGTTTTGATAAAACTTTCTGGAGACTGGTTTAGGTAAAGTGAAATATTTTGTGATTTAACAAAGGCAAAGTGTCCTGCTCTCTGCAGTGAGGCTCAGTGAGCTTTGGGCAGGACTCCTTGGGGTATTGACCAGTTGACTTATTTAGGGTTGGTGCTTTATTAGTTACTGAGAATCTGGGCTCTCAGTTCAGGAAGCTTAGACAAAATTTTGGAAAGAAAAATAAAAAAAGCAAGCTCAGTTATGTTCTCTTCTTTTTATTTTATAGGTTAATAATGCTTATAAGCCAGAGGTGAGAGTGGCTCAGCGAGCAACATCGGGAAATCTGGCAGACTGGAAGAGAACAGCTGCCCCCCAGGGCAGCTGCGAATTGTGAAGCATGGAGGAAAGTAAGAATGAGAAGGTGAACCAGGCTCATGTGCTCTTTGACAGATTTGTCCAGGCTTCAACCTGCAAGGGGACTCTCAAAGCTTTCCAAGAACTCTGTGACTACCTAGAACTAAAGCCCAAGGACTATCGTTCTTTCTATCACAAACTCAAGTCCAAGCTAAATTACTGGAAAGCCAAAGCCTTGTGGGCCAAACTGGATAAGAGAGGCAGCCATAAGGACTATAAGAAGGGGAAAGCGTGCGCCAACACGAAGGTAAGAGGTCTATTCACCCTGGTCAAGACAACTATTACCCAGTTTGTCTCTGGAAAACACAATAAAAATATCTCAATGTACAAAGATGTTTGCCTGGTGTCAGTATAAGCCCAGGGACGACTTGGGAATGTTCTCACATGTGTTATTTATAGTATATTCACAATTTGTTAGCATTTCACTCTCATTCAAAAATTGTGTTTGCCACTTCCAAATTTGACTGCCTATCAGAATAGGGGAAGCTCAATGGAAATAAATCCTTGGGGATGACCAGAATATTTGTAATTTTATTCAGAAGAAGCAACCTGCAAGTTTCTATGTTTTTATGTTTGTGTGGCATCAATACTACAGATGAGTTACAAAATCTTAGTTGATAAACCTTTAATCTTGGTAGTTTTTACATTTTTTCACTAGGCAGTAACAGGGGCATGAAATTTGCTATTGGAGTCTAGATAAAAAAACAAATATGTTTGGAAATTTCCAATGTTAATTTGAAAATACTTATGAGTAGCTCAAGAAAAGTGAATTTTCTTGCCAATTTAGCAAAGTATTTTATTTACCATTATTTAGAAAGTAATCACTTGTATTCCAGGTTCAGGGAGGGGGGAAGGGGGGGAGAGCTGTGGAATCTCATACCAGTTCCTTTTAAAAGGAAGATTGGTATGTGTGGTATTTACTGCAGGAATTCCTGCTTTTACACACACACACACCAATTTATTTTTTACTTGAAGTATTGTGAGCTGGTATTTGTGCTCCACTCTTGTTGGACTGTACAGTGTGAGCTTATTTATTTGTTTTGTTGCTACTGAAAACAGTTCTTTACATCGCTCATCAAAATGTGAATGGAACAACTTCTTTTTGGAAATAATCATACATTCTTCCTTTTTTAAAAAAGGAAGATAGTGCAGAACATGATAAAATTAGAACAGGATTCTGTCCTCCATTGAGACCAATAGGTGCTGCTGCTTCTTCTCTTGAACACTCACCTTTTGGGAGAAGGAAGTATCTTAATAGGAGGAATTAACGACTAATTCCTCAGTACAGAACTGAGGGGGAAATATATCCTGTTTAGGATATCTCAGTCATTTCAAATCTGTGGACTGAAGTTTAATTCCCAACTAGATATTAGAAAATGATGGTAGTTTCTTGATTGTTTATTCTGGTTTAACTTTTCAATGGCCATTTTCATCTGGATGATGGCATTTATAATTAATTACTACAGTAACACTTGGAAAAATTACTAGTGGACCAAGGTCCACTTGTCCTTGGAAAGATAATACTGTCCTCAAAAAGTTTACAATTGGTACATGAAATTATAGATAGCAGGTGCCTATAGACTTAACATGGAAAACAACAAGACAATTGGGTGGTGTTGATCATCATGATGGGCACTAGATTATACTCTGACATTCCAACCTCTGTTAAGATTTTTGAGGCAGCATAAAAAGGAAGGACTTACTGGAAGATAAATACAGGGATTTTTTTCGTGTTTATTTAGGAATAAACCTTCCAAGCATTATGGATATCATGGGGAAAAATTCAAAATTGTTTTTAGGAAAACTTGACTGCACTTTGCATTCATTTGATTCAGGAATTGGTCTTATTTGGAATGAAACATGATGGGTAGAACTGAAATAGGGTGTTGGAGGCTGTGAAATGAAGACAGGTGGCTTATGTTTCGATGAGAAAGAGATTGAACAAGCTGTGGAAGAATGTGGAGGTATTTTAACTTATTTGAAGTAAAAGACTGAAAGAGTGATTTTTTTTTTTTTTTGCATAGATCTTAGTGGGCAAAACAGTGTTTGTTAACTCTGAAAAAAAGGTTACATCAATAATAGAGATGCAACATGAAAGAAGAGATTTAATGGAAGAATGAGTGTATGACTTTGATAGTGCTCGATTATGAGGATATAAAAAATAGACATGAATGGAGGTTGACATCCAGCTATGAAAGACATTGAGAAGACAATGGATTGTGACACTTAGCTAGAAGAGAAGTGGTGAGGAGGGTTTAGAAAGATGTTGGAGCTCTGTTTTATCACGTTGGGCTAGAACTGACAACGAGGCAGCCGTGAGGAGATGTCAGAAAGGTAGAGGTTTTTGCTTGGATAAGAAGTAGTCAACTGAGTTGGAAAAGTTCTTTGAATCTACAGTGCTGATGAGCTGATTGAACCAGTGAATGAGGTGATGCAAAGAGAGATCGTTGAGGAAGATGATTGAGATGACAGGCAAAGCCTTGTGGGAAGCTGGCAGTGAGAAGAGAGGGAGAAGTGAGGGAAGTCCTTCAGATGGTACTCTGAAAGAATAGCTGGAGACAGAGGAGTACCGAGTCTTAAAAGAAACCACAAAAGTACATGCTTTCAAGAAATACATGTAGCCAACTGTCTAGGAAACATCTCCTCAGTGCAGTTGAAAAGCGGGTCAAAGGGGTAAAGCATACTAGGAGTGATGTTTGACTCAAGAGTTTCCTCAAGATTTGGTGTAGTCCAAAAGCTTGGCTTATTTCCTGCACCAAAGCCAAGCTAGAGAGCGTGTAGGGTGAAATTAAGGTTATGGTTGGACTAGATGATCTTAATGGTCTTTTTCCAACCAAACTATTCTATGATTCTTTGAGTTGAAAAAACAGGATCAAGAGAGCGATTGTAGAAGTGGCATGTGGTGATCTTGGAGATGAGGTGGTGGTGAGAGAAAGCGAGAGACATGAGGTCATGTGTGACTCTCCTTCATTTAATGATGAGAGAGAAACCTCAGAACTTGCTGGTGTTGGTGTGAAGGACCAGAAGGTGGGAGGGGTGGGAATGATTGCAGTGGACATGTCAGTGATCATACTGAACCTCTGCTAGAGGAAAGGGAAGGCTCATTCCGTAGCTGCTCTCCTGTGGGGGTGACAAGGAGAAGGAAGAGAGTAAAGGAAGAGGGGACAGGGAATGGAGCAAGCCAGGGAGTCATTGGCCACTGTTTCCAAGATGTTGGTGCCATGCTGTGTAGAAACACAAAAAGAGTGGGTGGTGAATAAATTAAAGGGACACCTCCTCTGCCCCAACCCAGAAACAACCAGTGCTGTGGATTTGGGATTCATGCCATTTCGAGTAGTGAAATTAGTAGCTGAGAGAAAGTGAAATTTAGTTAGGTTTTTTTTTTACTATGTCATAAATAATATATACCTGTGATGATAAATGATTTTTGTGTGGCTTTGCATACAAAATGTGTTGAAATCTTTAATGTTAATCTTTAATCTAAAATGATAAATTTATGCCTTCTTTTTATATTTTTCATATATGTTTTTGTTAATTACTTGTTTCCTATCCTAATAGTATCTGCAATTAAATGTTTATGTATAACTCCTAAGAGATAATAATATATTCAAAGTAGAGGCCTTTTGAGAACAGAATAATATCTGATTTGATATCTCCTATCTCACTTAGTTTTTTTGTTCCTAATGGTTAAAAGTAGTTTGCAAAGCACTGATTAAAAAATACAGAAATTTTAAGTGTGCCTGTGGAGATGATAGAATTGAAAATAAAGATGAGGGTTTTAACCATGTTATCCAAACAGCAACCAGTCCTTTCTTTAGGAAGCTCAGCCTCTACGCCCTGGAGCAGATACCAGGTTTGAAGTTCTCCTCCTCTGTGGTGTAGCTCTTACTTGCCCATTTAAGAATTGGTCAAGGTCCAAGTTAACCAGAATTGAGATAACCAGCCTTCATGAAAGCAAGACTTGGACGTGATGGGTTGTTCGGATGGAAATAGTTACCAGTGGTGCTCTCTCCTCATTGTTTATACAGGATTTCAGTTTAGATTTTGTGTCTCATTACCATGGTGTTGTTACTGAAAACTTCATGTAATCTGTCTGAAAGATCTGGAGGAAGAAGTGTTTCTGAGGGGTGAGACAGCTTCAGAGCGTGGAGTTGCAACAGTTCCTTGCAGTCATCGAGGGGAAAGGGAACAAGGATCAGCAGGAGCTGCCTTTTTCTGACTTGGCTGCACTTGGCATCTCATGTGTTTGCTGTTGCCTGTGAGTGTCAGGAGGTTTCTGTGAGAGGTTTGAAACTGGGAGAAGTGTTAGAGGTGTAAAAGGGAGAAGAATCTTTCCTTCTGCTTTTAATTGTGCTTAAAACTCACTGTGTTTTATAACAACATCATTTAATATTAAGCACAAATCCAGGCTGGGT